CCTAGCCAATGTGGCAAGACCCTGTCTCAAAACAGAAAATAAAAACAAAAGGGCAAAGTATGTAGTTCTGTTGCTACAGCCCTGGGTCAACCCCCAGTACCACAAAGAGTTTATAGGGATTAAAAACTATATCCTATTATTATTCACAGTATGTTTCATTGCACAAAAATTAAATATAAATATAGCCAAATTTATCATTTTTCTTTAGTGTATTTTCATTGTCTTACTAAACAATCCTAAGGTTAAAGACACATAGCATTTTCTTTTAGAAATTTTGTTTTTCATTTTGTCTTCAACAGATGGAATTTTGTTATATTAAAACTTTTTATTTTCTATTTACTGCTTTATGCTTTGTTTATAATTTTTTTCTTTCTTTGACTTTCTTCATTGTCACTTTTTGGTAAATATATAGTTTGCTAATTTTTCAGTCTTTCTTTTTTTAATAAAACAAATGAAAATAAGAATTATATTTTCCTAAGTGGCCCTTTAAGTGGTAGGTTTTAAATATTTATTATCAGTTTTTCAAAATCTAAAAACGGATCTACCTTATGATCCCACTATTATGCTATGTGTATTTCACTTCCTCAGGGAAAATGACGTCAGTACATCACAGTGATGCCTCCACGTTCAGGTTTGTTTTAGCACTGCCCACAAAAGACAAGGCGTGGGGTGCCCCAGGCCCTGCCGACAGAGGAGCAGGTGGGGAAAGTGCAGCACACATACTCCAGGGAATGGGACCGAGCCGAGGGGGCCTGGAGCCTTGGCCCTGACGACGTGGCTGCCACTGCATGAACTGAGCCAGGCACAGAAAGACAAGCAGTGCACGCATATTCTTACTCATCTGTGAGCGCGGAAACAGTAGATTTCATGGAAACAGAGGCTGGAACAGTGGTTATTAGCACGGGCTGGGCGTTGAGTAGGTTAGGAAGACCCTGAGTAACAGGAACCGAACACTGTCAGGGAGGAGAAATAAGCTCCAGTGTCCTGCAGCACTGCAGAGGGACTGCAGGCTACAGTAATTTATTAATAGTTTACATCCATAAAGAAATGGAAGAAACACATTCTAAGGCTTCCAACAGAAAGATGAAAATACTTGAGCAGGTGGAAATGCTAATTTTCCTAACTTGTACATTACATATTATATACAAGTATTCAGTTATTATGCCTGGACTCATAATAAATGAAATAATTGTACTGAAAACAAATTATAACTGTTTCAAAATTCCTTTTGTTATTTCCTCTTATCTATGTATCAGTTATAAATATAGTCAATGTATTTTTAGTTTCTAAACCATGCTTATTTTAAAATTATCTTTTTACTAGGGGCATCCACCTTAACTGTATTTACTGATTTAATTGACTGTAGCCCTGGTGCTTCTGGGCTCTGTCAGGACTTGGGCAGAGTCTGGGGCTAGGCTTTTGGTGCACCAGAGATCTTGCTTGGCCTGTGGGTCCCTGCCATGGCAATCCAGCCCCAGCCCCACATCTATGGTGCTTTCCAAGAAGTATCATGGGTTAGCTCCCTTCTCTGCTCTAACCGGGAGCTTCCACTGTGTCACTCAGCCGAGGAAATACCAAAGTTTCCAGTTGGGGTCATTTTGCTTATCTGCTAATTTTACTGACTGTGCAAAGCACTAATTCCCATTAGGTTATTTGGTTAATATTATGTCCCTGCATGGGCTGTAGAAGATTCAAATGCTTTCTTTCTCAGAAGCCATCTCGGACCACCTTGGGAAGGATTTATCTTCATCCTTTCATGCCCCTACTATCATTCTGTATTTCTGCCAGAACAGCCTATTATAGAAGCTAAGTTTTTCTGTCCCCCGGTAGACTGTTAACTTCTTAAGGTGAGAAACTGTATGTTGTTCATCCCATATAACTAGCACATAGATTCTGGTTCAGTAAGAACACTTGCTGAAATGTTAAAAAATACTAAATTACATTATGTATGAATGAAAAGTAGATTTAATGTGGTGTGTCATGTAAATTTAGTTTGCATAAAGTCAATTACCTTTTATCTTCAAGAAATAATTGATAAGTTTTTGGTGTGGTAGAGACACAAAGGAAAAAGAGGACTTTATTGTGGGCACAGGAGGGCTGCAGGAGAGTCAAGCACTCTCGGGTGAGAACAAAGAAGTGGAAGTATTTTATCAGGTCTGGATGGGGGAAGAGTTTGGGAAGTGGGGGAAATGACAGATCAACAGCTGATTTGAAGGAGCAGCTGCCTGTGCAAAACACAAGACAGAAGATTTCCTGGGGGCTGGAGTGGAGGCTTGGGTGGTTGTGGAATTGGGATTGGAGAGGGCTCAGCACATGCACAAAAAGAGAGCAGGTGGTTCATCTCTGGAATAAGAAGGAGATGTACAAGTTGCTCTTGGAGAGCTAAGTTGCTTCTCTGGGCCTGGTACCAAGTTGGGTGGATGTCATGTTAGAGATAGCTGAGCCCCAGGCTTTCGGCATCTGTCAATAATGTCTCCATCTATGACTATCACTGAATAAATATCAAATATTAGATTGTAAAAACGGCACATTTCAAAGATATGTTTATAAAAATATTGTGACCTTAACCTTCCAAATTCCACATTAACTATTTTATTAGATAAAGGAAGATATCCCAAAAATCTTTCTCACTACACTTAGTCCAGGAATGTTATTAGACTCAGGAGAAAAATCTGCAACATAATTTATAGTAAAAATTTGCAGAAGAAAATATACTATGATATAATCAAACTCTGAAGTATGGTAGTAAATAAAGGCATAAATTGCAGGATGGTTTACTCAGGCTGTCCAGGGAATAGGAGGTACCCATACAGAGGTTAGAGTCAGCTAAAACTGAGTTATCAGCCAGCTACATTTTGAGCTCTGTGACTTAAAACATGGCACAATCTAGATCTCATTGTCTCCATTATGAAGCTGTTTACATCTTAATGCTGAGGATGACTAAGTGAGGTAATGAACACTAAGGTACTGAGCACAGTTTCTGGTAGTTGAGGACATTCAGAAAGTGCTGGGTCACATCTTCCATTCTTGCCACCTTCCCGAGGTCGTTCCTTACAGTATTGTTTTCCCAGTCTCTGGGTGTGACACTTAAGCCGTGTCCTCCTCCCTTACCACCATCTTTTAGGAAGCAAGAGAATACTCTTCTCCTTTTATTTTCTAGTAAAATCCTTCTGCATAAACCAAACAAATATATATCCTGATGGGACAACATGAGACAGAATTATTTTGAGATTTATATATTTTAAAACACTGATGCTCAGTTTAAAAGCATTTTGACAGTGCCAAAATGCATTTCATCATTTAAAATGGTTTAATGGGATTATTTTTTAAGAATTATTTAATTGTTTCTGTATCTTAGGAGAATAACATTTTCTTTAATTCTAATAATTCTTCAATATGAAGCTTATGATCTTTTATAAAAATTAATGAAGACTTATAATTTAACTACAGCCATAATTTATTTTTATGTTACAAATGTTCTCTAAGTGCCTTTAATATTTAATTAGATATTAAGTATCGGAGAATGCTGAATTTCCTAACTGCTATTTAGTGTGACTATTAAGCATAATAACAATAGTAAAAATGATTATTTGTATGTGACTTTTCTGTTTATAAAACGCTTCTAACACAATATCTTATTAAATCTTCCCTGTAATACCCTGAGGTAAGGATTGCTGTCAGTATTTTAATAGGGAAAAGACAGTCTGAAATGTGAATCTGACCTACGCTCACAGACATGTTTTACTGTGTCTTGTTTTCTCTATTATACATTATTTATTCTAATAAGCTAATTGTCTAGTATACACTTCAAGTTCAAATTTTAAATATGATTTTAAGTGATTTATTGAACTTTCAGAGCATTTGCTTTAAGACATTTCTTTTGTGCTTTAAAACACAACACTACTGTCATTAACAGTGACTGTATATTTAGTAGCTTCTCAATAAGGTAAAATACACATAGGCCACAGACTTTGTGAAAAGAAGAAATTTGTACATGAAGCTGGAACTGGGTGGTTTTATGAATTCAAGATGGTATGTAGGCATATATTGAGAGATTAAGGCCACCAGGCTAAGGGAAACACCATTGCAAAAGGACAAATACTGTATGCTTCCACTTATGTCAGAAGAGCTGTTTACCAGTATGGAGCTCCTGTGTCAAAAGGAAAAGGGAAAGCATTCTGGAGAAAGATGGCGGTAATGGCAGCAAACATTGTCAGTGTACTGAATGCTGCTAAAGCGTACATCAAAGTGATTAAGACAGTGAATTTTATATAATACATATTTTACCGCAAATGAAAAAGAATCGTATCAAAGGTTAAGGTCTCCAATTTTCTGCACATATGGATTTACCACGCACTTGGTTTTTTAACATTCTTTTCTCTATTAGCAGTGCATATTGACATTTTCAAGAATGCATTTTGCAAGTTTTAAAGTCTATGTAGGGTGCTGTTCTTTGCTACTAAAAAGTATAAAGGTTTTGCCTGGTTTCATAGGCAGAGATGGAACCAGAGAGTCACATGGGTCAGACAGAACAGCTTGTGCAAAAGTGTGGGGTAGAAGGGCCTGGCAGCCACTTCAGTGAGGATGTGAGAGAGGAGACGCTGTATCACAGCCTGGACAGTGCAGGCCCAGCAACACACGCTGGAGTGCTTAGAATTTTCCTACAGTGGATGCAGAATGAGCAACGCATTTCAGTTTGCAGTAAGCAAAGTGATTCTGATCCCAGCGTGAAGGGCGGGGTTGGGCAGGAACCAGCAGGGGCTTTGGGAACAGCACAGAGTCTGAAGTCAAACAGTGGGGCCAGGCGAGGAAAGAGGCCTGGAACTCAGAGACAGAAGAGAAGCAGTAGGACTTGTGACTGATTTTTGGTTTAAAAAATTAGTAGTTGTATGCAAAAAGTCATGAAAATAAAGCCAATCAATGCAATGAATATAATCTGGTGACTACTACTAACATGTTATCCCAGCACATCCGTTGACCTCAGGAACAAAAATTCTTACCTTAGGTCTTCAAATGGGTCCGCTCTGACAAGGGGTGTCTCCACTGAGTGTTCGAAAAGAGCCCCTTCAGGCCCTAAAGAATACCAAAGCACATAAAATTATAATAAATGACATCAGACGTATGCGTCCCTAATCCAAAATCCAAAGTGTTCCAAAATTCCAAGCTTTTTGGGGGTTGCCATGACACCACAAGTGAAAAACTCCACACCTGACCCCATGTGACAGGTTGCAGTCCAAGTGCGGGTGCGCTAACTACCGCCTAGAGTTGCCTGCAAGCTGTATGTGTAATGTGTACTTGAAGCATATATGAATTCTGTCTTTAGACATGAATCCCACCCTTAATACATCGTTCAGATGTAGAGACCTCACCCCTCCATCCAAAATCTGAAATATTTTTGGTCTAAAACATTTGAGATAAGAGCTACTCAAGCTTTAGGTTTTAAACTTCGTTGCTGAATTTACGCAAATGTTCTGGCTCAGGGAACAAAAGGGTAGAGCTGCTTCTCTGCTTCTTAGGTGTGTGTGATCACAGAATCTTATCAATGAAGTAAGATTCACGAAGCAATTACAAATCAGTTGGCTTATTTTAAAATTAGAGAAATATTAGGTATGAAACTGAAAAAGGAGTAATTCCCACTGAGTCACGTACTATAACACGACTATTTAGATTTTACATGTAAAAGTGTGTCTTGTGCCTTTTGTTTCTAAGGCACAACAGAAAAAATTTAAAACCTAAGTATTTAACATAGACCTTTTAATTTCTAGAAATCTGTATGATCCTAGTTTATTTATTTGCTTAAGAACTTAATTGTTTGAGCAGCAATCTGAAAACTGGGCTCAGAAATACACAAGAGAAAAGTGACATACTGCTTGGCATAGTCTAAGTTGCTTTAATGCAGTTTGAATTTAGAGGCCTCATTTTAAGACTATACACTATAGATTTCTTTATGTATAAGTAACAAACAATATGCTATGGAAAGCAGTGCACCAGTAGCAAACAGCAACTAAACTTGAGTGTTGTCTGCGAGAAGGATTACTCTAAGGCAGCATGGAAGACCTCCAATAGTAAGAGCAGTAGAGTGAACCTAAAAATAGATGCTTATGAACACAGGAGTCCGGGGACAAAGGATTCAAGGAGAACAGGGGCCTGGGGCAGGAAAATGTTGTGAATGCATCTGAATGAATGACTGGTCCTGTTTATCAGAAATAAAAGGGTTTAATAGGACAGATTTGTTGTCCGTGTGATGTTTAAAAATATTTTTCCTCTTAAATGTATGGGCATACACACAAATTTAAGTAGCACTGCACAGTCTAACACACCCATCCTGATTTACTAGCAGGGCCTACACCCACCCTGTGCAGGCCCTACCCATCTTAGGCTTCACCCCAAGACATCCCACTCCCATTTATTCCTACCACTGAATGGGGTAGTAGGGGCTGCGGTTCAGCATCTCTCTCCCTCTTGGTTCCATAAGGATGTCAGAACTCAGCCTCACACCATGCAGAGTTTCCTCTTTTGGGGATACTGAGATGATTAAAATGTTCATTTCCTAATCTACTCTTGTATTGGTTTTGCCATCAGACATTAAAGAAAAATTGCCCAAGTGAAGGTTTCTCAGATGCTGGTTTGGGAAACCATCACTGTGGTTTGCCAAGGTCTTGTCAGCAGCCGTCACCAACTGGGTGATTCACAAAGCCTGTCCATTTTCCCACGCATTACTGACTGTATTGCTAAGGAAGCTCCTTCTTCCCTAGTAATTCTGGGTCTGACAGTAGCAATGCAAGTGCTCAGGTGAGAAATAAGAGCTTGTAGCACGTACATAAAAGAGACAAATCAGCACACAATAAAATTTTAAAATCACAACTAGATTTAGTAGCATGATTTACATAAATGCTGTCATCAACTAAAATAAAGGAACACACATAAGTGAAGGTTAATGGTTCATGAAAATTATATTTATAATTCATGGAAATTATATTCAGATGAGAAACAGACTTGCCTGTATTCTGTAACAAGTCACTTCTCTTTAAAATACCACTTAAGCTAAATGTAAATGATAATGGGGACATTATGTAAATGTATAGTAAGGCTATACTAAGCAGTGGAGATTTCACAATCAATTGTGCCAATCAAATTTTATAATCCAGTGTGTAATTTTTGTCTCATGTATAGACAACATTCTGTGTTTGGTGTCGAATCGAAACTAGTTTAAGTCAGTAATTTGCATGATATTTAGTTCTTTATCTTTCTCTATCCTCTTCTCTTGATTTGCAAAATATATTTGAAAATATATACAAATGCCCCACAAGTCAGTCATTATGCCAAGTAGAGATATGCTTACTCTTGCGTGACAAGTAGATTTATTGTGGTTTACATAGCATTGCTTGAAATTTGAGTAGTGATTTATTCTGGGAGACCTAACGTGAGTGTTGTAAATACATATTAACTCAGATGCTTCCTCATCAGATTACCAAATTTATGGTAAAGCGAAAGCACTATGCATTTGGTAAAAATAGTTGAATGTGGATCTTCCTGGGCTAGTGACACCTCGTCGAGTCCTCTCATCCCAGCAGCGGACAGTGGCAGCACGGTGCAGCTCCCATCCCATCAGGCCATGCGATGGCTGGCATACGCAGAACAAGCGCGTGTTACACAGCCTAGCTACGGCTAAGTATCAGAAGCGTTCTGAGCATCTTTAAGGTGAGCTCTCTGGTGGGAAGGGTGTATTAAATGCATTTTACCTTGGGATATTCCCACTTGCAGTGGGTTTCTCAGGGAACAAGGAACACCTATAATAAAAAGCTAAGGATTTTTTTTATAACATAGAAACATATAGAATATGGGTTATAAACTTGTGTGTAATTATTTTATCTATTTATAGAAACAAAATGATAAGTGAACTGAAAAAAAGAAGTGTCAACACATTTACTGTCTCCACACACACACCTCTGCAAAACCAAGCTCAAAATTCCAGAATGTTCCAGCTGCAGAGCGGGGCTTTCGAGCATGGCACCCGGGCATATGCCTGGCCAGGTTCCACCTCTGAGCTACACTTCCGCCCTTCATAAGCAATTTTTATTTGAGGATAACTTCAATTATTTTTTCCTTGAAAGCTGAAATTATTCAAAGTGCCAGTGGCACTATTTTACAGAGAAATATATCCAACTAGTTAGTTTTACATGCCTAACACTACTTAGCTTCTGGTAAGACAGTAATTAATGACACTGTATTATCATGTGAGTGGGGTGGTTCACTTCCAGGCAGCTATAAGACTCACATAGTGATATGTTTGTCTTTAACAACAGCAGCAGTTTTTCCATTATTAAAATTGTAAATGCACATATCATAGGATCTTAACCATGCAGCGTTGCCATTCAGTCTCAAAGGAAATGTTTCTTAGACTCTGTTTGCTTATAAAAATGTGTCTTTTCTGAATGGTTTCAGAAAGTGATTATCAGTAAGGGGCGGCTGATCTTCAGTACAACTGTTTCCTTTATGTTTGCATTTCTTTTTAAATTTTGCTAACCAAGATTATAGTTGACATCATAACCATTCCTATAGGAAAGAGAGTGCATTATTTAAGGTCATATAACTTAAATTTTATGTAGGAAAAATAGTTCCATTATAAAAGATTTATCAACCATGCATTTAAATGGCCCTGTGTGTTATGGTATAACTACATAATATCGACACAGACAATTAGAATAAAAAAAGAACAGGATACTGAAAGCACAGAGTTAGAGTGTTAACTTTAAAAATAATTTAAGAGTATGCTAACAGGATTGGATGTAGGAAGGGTGGGTTGTCTCCACTGTCACACAGCAGTCACGGCTGGGACAGCACAGGGCTGGGACAGCATCCCGCAGTCGCCAACAGAGCCTGATGTGGGTCACAGAGGGCTGCATGTTGATACATGCTTCCTAACACGGTGCTGTTTGCAGGGTCCTTCAGTTACAGAAATGCAGGATGCAGTATTAGTACTTCAGCAGTGGCTAAGATATGCTGAGGATTTATTAGGTTTTGGTGTCTGCGTTGATAGCTGCTTCTCAGGTTAACGCCACACATTTACTGAATACCAATGGACTGATACAAGCTTTTCAAACCAGGAAAAACTGTTTTCCTTCACTGCTGGACTCCCAATGTGTCCACCGCCTTCCTTTCTGATCATGGCGAGACCTCTTGTCTCTGATTACTCCCGTGAAAACGCTCTTGTTCTCAGCGCAACTGCACCCATGATGGTCAATCCAAGGGCAATTTCTGTCCTCTTTGAGATCCAAATTCTGCAGCTGTGGTCTGTCTGGGCACTGGGAACAGGCTCCTGAGGTGCCTCTCCCCACTCGGACTCCGGCTTTCACTTTGCTTTGATAAGACAGCTTGAGTAATAAATACAAAATGGCATGACCGTTTTGTTTTGTTTTTCCCAGTAACGATGAGGACTCAGAGCTTGCCACGCCGCCCCTCCAGCCCTGGGCTGGACAGAGGGGACAAGGCAGAGCTTTTCTTTCAGTTTCCAGCACTGTCTCCTCTATTGATCTTCTCCCTGGCCGTCAACTGCTGTGAGTTTTGCTGATCCAAAAAGCTCCACAGGCAATGTGGAGTAAACCCATTTAAAGCAGGAACTAAACTTTCATAGGAGGCAGTTTCAATAGGAATTTGTCTTTAAAAAATCAAAGTTTATAACACCACCACTATGGATTTTATATGTATAAATCTCAGTCATAATTGCTGCTATGAAATTATAAGCAATAAACAAAGAATAAATCAAGCTTTTTTTGTGCGGATTCTTAGTTTCCTATTTTTGTGTTACAAACCACGGTGGCCTTTGCTGCTTAAATCCATTCCTGCTCGTTAGCTCGTTAGCTGTAGGTTCCAAGCCCAGGGTCCTTGCCTGGGTTTTAAGCACAAAATCTCCCCTGGAGGCTCTGGGGAAAACACAGCTTTCCAGCTGGTTTCAGTGTTAGCAGAATTCACCTCTCAGATGTAAAGGTCCCACACATCTGGTCACAGAGCCCTCCGTATTCCTGAGCAAAGGGCAGAGAACCCTCCTTGCCCCTGAATCCCTGACTTTCTCTTCTGCTCCCCAGCACACAGGGGCTGCTGAGCCACATTAGGCCACCTGCATAATCTCTCTTTTGCCAGGAAACTAACAGCCCAGAGAGAGACTTCTCCGTCCACTCACAGGGGAGGAGCCACTCACTGGAGGTAGCGGTTGCACTGAGGCGTCCACTGTCATCCCCAGGGGTCAGCACTGCTTGAAGTGCGGGTCATATCAGGCTCACTTTTGACTCACACTGTTTTGGGGTGGCCAGGCTCTAACTTTCTGCTGTTCTCTTGTTAGTGTGTTTGCCAGCAGCCCCCGTATTTCTATACTACTTCTGACTTCCCCAAACCCTAAATCTTTGCAAGACCTGTGACTTCACGTGGCAAGCGATTTGCACTTGCTCTGTAGGATGCTGTGAGGCATCCTGAAATCAGTGGGAGACCAGCAAATGCAGAAGTGTGAAGCTCTGAGCAGTAAAATGCTCACTCAAGGTCACGCAGTTGTTTGTTTTTGAGGAAATATACACATCTGTAATCACAAGGCTTTGTATTAGGTTGAGTTTACTTCTTGGGCCAGAAAACTATTTTGTTTTTATTTGGGAGAGATATGAGTGAGCAGTTTTGCTATTGTTTTTCAGAATAGTATAGAAAAATGCTGGAATGTATTTTTTAAAAAAACTGTGGCTTTGCAGAAGTTCAGCAAATGAATTTAGAAAATATTCTGAATTTTTTTCCTCTAAAATTTCTTTTTAGTCCTAAAAGACTATGAGAAGTCTGTTTCACTTTTAACGAACAAGTTATGTTTTTGGTTTTTTTGTACAAATACAGAGAATCCACATGCTCAATACACCTGGAATAAAAGCAAATTAGATACCTGAGTTATAGAGAAGGTAGAAGAATATGGTAATTCTTTGTATTACACCAATTGGAAAGAGATAAAGGGTAGAGCTATGGTGGAAGGAAAGAGTGGGTAAAGATGTGTAAGGAAGATTTTCTTCTGGGAGAGCATAAAAGAATTACAAAAGAAAGGTTAGATGCGTACCAGTTACTCGAAGCCTATCTGTGCCAACCACAACTTCCTTCTCATCCACGGTAAACAGTGGCTTGCCATCTTTTGAGTTGATCCGGAACTGCTGACTCTGGACCTCCACCATTTTGGGACCTAAAGTAGCAGTTAAAATCACTTATTGCAAACTGTTTACCATAAGCAGTGCTGCTAAAATATCTATTTTCACAATGCTATGTTATCTGGTAGCTGAGCCCTTATAACTTGTTACCAATAGTTTTACTAAATCTCTGATTAATCTTTGAATGTTTTAAATTTACATATATAATTAAAATTAATTTTTCAAGCATGCTATTCTTTATTAAATAGGTACATTAATACATTATTTTAAAGTTAAATTCTTTATATTTTTAAAGTTTGATGAACCTCAAGATTTTCCTACTTATTTACTTAAGAAAATGAGTCACATCTTGCAATCTTTGTACATGTACCCCCATATCTCTTACAGTACGCCGCAAAATTATTTATACCTAGAAGAAGTAAAGCTTTTCGATTAATGTTTTATCAATTTTGGACTTGGTAACTGGAGCAGTCTTATCAACTTTTACTAATTCACACTTCAAAACCCTCTGATGTTTCTTAGAATACATAAATAAATATCTTTGATTAGCGAAGAAGTTAGAAACTTCAGCTCACTTTTCCTTATTTTTTTCTTTAAGAACGTCTGGTTTTATTTATATATTTATTTTTGATAATTGTATATATTTCCCCTATAGCATCATTGTTTCTTATTCTTTGGTCACTAATCCCTATTGTAAATATTTACTAAATAAGTGTCAAATCGAGGAAAGAACTGAAATTATTTCTCAATAATCAGTTTACTATTTTGTTGACTGAAGGTTCCTATGCTGGATCACATGAAAGGTTTGTTAAGTCTAAGAGGTTAAGCTTATTCTTAAGTGGTTGATATTTTCTGTAATAGTTATTTCATATACATGGATGAAATGTTCAATTAACTAGTCTATTTGCATCCTTCATACAAGTAGCAACGCAGTATGAACCCTTACTCAAAGAAAATGCAAGAAAACGAGTGTTTCATTCACACAAATTATTGCACGTTTTTATGCACAGGATTCTGTGCTAGCTCACAACTTGCAGGGATTCATAGTTCACTAGAGAGAAAAACAGGCAAAGACAGGACAGTTAGGCAAATGCTGTGAAAAGGCAGGGACGGCATTTGATGGGAATCACAGCAAGAAACTCCTGGTCTGTCCCGACAAGGGCAGCATGTGGGGGGTTGGGCAGGCTGACCTGCAGAGCAGCCCAGAGCTCGGGGAAGGAGGGCTGGGCCCTGGGGGAGGGGCCTGAGGAGGGCGTGTGGGCGCCTGGAGTTCCATTTTCCTTCTGGCTTAAATGGTTTCCTCCTCTGCGGAAACTGCACCGTTCTTCAAGTGGTAACAAGCCTACAGGGATTCCATTTGCAGTTGTAGCTTTCAACTTTTCTAGTCATCTGCCAGTTTTTGTAATCTCATTGGACACAGATTGAAGTTCAGCAAGTAATTCTGTTTCGCAGAGGAGGTCTTTAAGAAATAATATTCAATACTGTTGCTAAGAAAATAACTATTTTCAATAATATTTAGGACAATATCACTTTTAATAAAAGATCTGTATAAAAGAGGGAAAGTTAATGGCTTTGTGATTTGATTAAATTTGTGAAAATGGCTGAAGAATTTTCTAGTGAAAATGCCATCAGATTTTTTTTTACCTACAATAAGCTTCATTAGCAAACTTTTCCTCAATACATTTTTAATTTCAGATACTAGCATTAGAAAACAAGTGCAATTAAGTCCTTTACAAAAAGGAAATGTGTGTTCTGTTGCTACAGATATGGTTTTATAAAGGAAGGATTGCATAAAACTGAGAAGGTTTGCTCTACTACTTTTTGGGTATAATCTTCTATGATTTAGTTTCACTGTATAACCCTGACAGTAGTGACTCTTTCCCATGATAAAATAAAATAAAATAAATAGCTACCAGCTTTGAGAACTCCTTGAATAGACCAAGCCAGAGGGGCTGTAAGAAAAACTTAGGTTATTTTTCTGTAAATGACTCTGATAATCATAAACGAAACTTAAGACAACTTTCTAAAAATGGTGAAAAATGATACTTTTAACAATCTTCTGCCATCTGGAAACTTACCTTTATAAATAATCCTTGTAAAGGTTAAAACAGAATTCTTTGTTTTCACTTTGTATATTTAAACCAGCCTATAACTCCATGCTTTTATACTTTTTTCACCACTTGAAGGTCTTTTGTTCAAAGACACTGCGTGTGTGTCTGTGTGTGTGAAACAGTGAACTTTGAATTTTCTTACTTGGCGTGATTTATGCTTAACACCTGCACAGCCCGACACCGTCCTCTGCAGAGACTTATTCATCCATGCACCATGAGGTCATGGGCGGAGAGTGACTGGGCAAAGGCTCCAACTCTGTCCCCAGCAGTTATGTTGGAAGAACTCTTTCCCATTACTCTTGCTCTGCTTTGGTGGAGTTCTGCCATCTGTCTCAGCTGCTAAGTCTGGGCTTTGTTTCATCTTCACAGTCTTCACATCCCTTAAGGCTGTGGCTCAGTCTGCCCCTGAGCGTGCACCACCCCAGTGAGCCACCTTGTTCCATCTCATCTTTGGGAGCCTATCCCAAGTCAAACTGATGTCTCGGCCCATCCCACAAACATTTTGTCCTTCCTCTGATCATCTATTCAACAAATTATATCAAATATCTGCTAAGTCTAGAAGGGCAGACTGAATTAAGAATTGTGGCATTAAATTCTGGACAACAAAGGCAAGGCAGGAGGCATCACAATCATTGACTTGAAATTATACTACAAAGCTACTGTGATAAAATCAGCATGGTATGGACTTCCGGGAGAACATGGCGGACAGATAACAGCAACTACCGGAGGCTCTCTGAAAAACTAGGCTCAGAAGCCAGGTATGGTGCGGACTAAAGAGACATAAGCAGTTGGAGTTATGCTCTGCTGACTTAGGAACGAACTCGGCTGAGAGAAACCAACTTGGAATGCAGTCCTGGTGCTAAAACAGGAACAGAAAAGTCTCGCTGCTGAGGCTGGACCCTGCGCCATTGGAAGCCGCGATTTGGGTTTCCCGCCGCGCAGTGGCTGGCTGCCTCTACATCGGCTCGGCAAGGAGAGAGACGCGCGGAAACTCTGAGAACGGGAGTCTGTGAACGGAGTCGAAAACAGGACGGGCAGGGAGGCATGTTCTGACTTGTGGCGAGGTGAGTGAGAGAAACTGACACTCCACCACAGTTTGACTCCAGCGGACTTTCTGGGCCTGAGCAGTCCTGCAGGAGCAGGGCGCGCAGGCAACTCCAGCCACACATTCCCCTCTCGGGCGGGATTGGTGAAAAGTGCCTGGCCTGCGTGACGCTGCCGGCGGACCCCGTAGGCTGGCCCAACCCAGATCCCAGAGCCTGACGGTGGCCGGGAGGGGCGGGCCCCCGCGTAGGCTGCCTGGTGCGCAGCGGTGAGTGGGAACACCTAACCGGCGCAATTCGATCAGGCTGTGGCTGACAGGGAGAGAAGCTGGGCCTCTCATATAAGCTTGCATATATAAGGAACAGAGAATATGGGAAGAGGCAGCAACAAGAAAGGCTCCTCGGCCCCCAATTCTGAGAAACAGGCAATAGCAGACACCGCACCAATACACATAAAGCACCATATAGAGAGCCTCATAGACCAATTCAGGAATGAAGTTATCAACGACCTGAAGCTAGAAGTATGCAAAATAGTTAGAGAAATGCTAAGCCCCACCCAAGAAAAAACAGATGGTGGAATGGAAGAACAGAAAAAGAGGGGAGAATTGTTTGATGGAGAAAACAGGGAAAGCATAGAATACGTGAAGCAGGTTCAAAGGGACTACCAAGAAACTAAGAAGTCTATCGAAGACTGGCATAACAGCTTGAAAGAAACTAAGGACAGACTATCTGAACTGGAGGGCAGAATTGTAATATGGGAGAATGAAATGAAAAACTTCTTAAAAATAACAAAGAAACAAACAGCAATAATACAAAGACAAGAAGATGATAAGAGGATCCATAACTTAAGGATTAAGAACATAAAAGAAGAAGTAGGGACACAAACAAATGAACTACAAAAGCTACTCACAGAAATAATCCAAGAGAATTTTCCTAATTTAGCAAAAGGTAAAGATACTCAGATGTATGAGGCATACAGGACCCCAGCTACCTACAACCCAAACAGAGCAACACCCAGGCATATAATAATAAAAATTCCAGAAATTCAATACAAGAACAGAATATTAAAAGCTGTCAGAGACAAGAAACAGACCACTTACAAGGGAGCACCCATCAGAATTACAGCAGATTTCTCTGCACAAACCATCAAATCACGAAGAGCGTGGGGGGAAATAATTCAAGCTTTGAAAGATAATAATCTTCAGCCAAGATTGAGATATCCTGCACAACTGTCCCTGGAAATTGATGGGAAAACAAGGTGCTTCCAGGATAAAGAGGAACTGGGGGAATTTGCAACCACCAATTCAACTCTACAGAGAGTATTGCAGGATATTCTAAAAAAAGAAAAATACAAAGAATCCAGAAATAGTGGAGGCCACGACTAATGGAGCAGAGAACAAAGTGAAGAAGACAAACTGACAGCTAGTGACAGAATAAGAGCTCAACAGAAATGAGGCAGAGAAGATTGGATGATAGGAACAGCTATTTTGGAGAAAATGACATCTTAATAGGTAATACTGATTTAGTATCATCTTGTCTTGAAGTCTCATCTAGCTTTTGTCCTTCTGTCTCCAATGGTCTAAATAGGTTGTATCTTACTGGATTTTATTATGTACAATAGTATAAGCAAAAACCTTTTAAAGACAAGGAGATTATACAGAAACCATTATTCATTTTCTGTTAGTCGATTCTAAATACTCTGTAATGCTGTCATTCTCTTAAATGGTTTTACATTGTTTTGATATACTTAATGCTACAGTATACGAAGTTGTACTCAAGGATTTCAAGGAAAGAGACAATATGGTAACTACTTTTAGGTCAGGATTATCTGGTGGTGAAACACTATTCTGCTTAAATGGTTATGTTTTGATCTGTGCTGTT